ATATATATAATGTATACATTTTTTACCAATGTTGTTCAGCTACCTGATTATGGAAAAATACATGATTATGGCAAAACTTAACTTAAATAATAATCACTATTATGGGTCCATAAAACATTTATTCAGCACTTTTGAATGCATACAGTACATTAATTCCAAGTCAAGTGCATTTTCTTTTCTCTGTAGGATAACTACAACAAAGTGCATTCAGAACAAAGCCAAGGTGCTTTAAAACTGCATAAACATCTAGGCCAGGAGGCCTACAACAAAATAGTGTAAATAAAGACTGTAACAGCCAGGCCTTCAACAACAACAAATGCACCTATAAGTGCATGCATACAAATGTGCAAAATGGATAAATCCACATGAATGTAACTATTTACAAATGAAATTACAATTGAATTTCAAGAATCTGTAAATAAGGCTGTCTGTCCTCATAAGCAAAGTAGTAAACATTGTATAAAGATACATAAAGTGAAAACTGGATACAAAATCCACAATCAATTACAAATTAAATTACAATTTCAAGAATCTGCAAATAAGGTGGTCTGTCCTCATGAGCAATGTAAACAACATTGTATCATTTAGATACCGAAAGTACAATATATTGAACACTGTGCTGCTGTCATTTCCCCCTAATGATAACCTGAGATGGTGAATTATAACTCACAATGAAAATTGTTCAGGAAAGTGGGTATAGAGAAGACATGTAGAACTAGATAAGCTTATGATAAGCCAGCCTTGTCTACTTATTAAGGAAAAGTGGGAGGTTCTTTTTAATGAACATTAGCTTCTCTGCTTTATGAGCCATAAGTCTGTTCCTCTTCTCATCAAGCACATGAGAGGCAGCGCTGAACAGTCTCTCGCTGTCAGTGCTTGTGATTTGATCTTACTCCGCATATTTGTCCGGGTGTTTTGATTTCAAGTGGTGGAGTAATCCCGAAGTGGTGAAAGTCTTTGCAGTTACACCCCCTCGAGAAATGTCAGCTGAACACGTTNGCACTGCACATCCATTTTGGAATACATTTCGGGTAACATGTACTCCAAAAGCATATTTCTTATCTGAGTCAAATAGTTTTTCAACATTAGACACAGGTCTAGGGAGTGCAATTTGCTATGGCAATACTTAAAGCGAGTGCCAAGCAATGCATTATGTCAAAAACTGCCATTAAGAAATGTTATACACACAAGTTCAAAAAGGGGAATCCTTTCCAAAGGGAGGAGATCCAACCGGAATAGTGGAATTTTAGCGAGAGCTATACCTGCCGTCATAAATATATGTTACACCATTATTACAATGAATGTGGACGGTGGCTTTCTATCCAATTAGTGAATTACATGCGAAGTTTCAAATATGCTGAATTTAAAATATGAACTTCGCCTTAAAATGCTGATGTAGGAGAAAGCAGACACAACAACCATTTAAGCTACAGAAGGCTTTGGTTTACTCCCATTGATAAGTTGCATCTTATCCCATTGGCATGCGTCCTCCTGAATGATCAGTTACCTCTTTCATATCTGTAGATGAGGGGATCCAATTTGGCCGATGCTTTGCTGAAGATGAAGCCCAGCAGTGGACATTAAACACAAGTTCCTCTCTCTTGTATGTAAGGTCACCCAACGACCAGCCCTTAATGTCCAACTTGGTCTCAGTCATTCTTTCCTATAGATGCTCCACAGTTCTGTCTTTCCTAAATACAAGAAAAAAGACAACAAATGTTACCACTAACCTCTAATATCCACCTTCGTTTCTTCACCCCACTGGCATTTCTGTCCTTCCACCTATTTTTGAGGACCCAGTGTAGAATCACTAATAACTCTTTTGCACTATAGGCGTTAAGTGCTGTAACCATGCCATGTAAGCGGTTTTGTTATTTACTTATCTTATGTACTGAACTAGTCACATGTTCCAGATCAAAACAGCAGGTTAAATTGGGCCACAATAAAAGCCTGCTTTTGGCTAAACAGAGCATTTATTGAATCTTGTTCCAAGATGGAAAGCCTTTAATTTGAAAGCAGAGGAGGCTGAGCCTACTCCATGTTGAAAACATTTGCGAGTATAGGGACAAAGGCACAGAAGATTAACAAAAGAGAAGGGACTAGTAAAGAGCTTGCACAAAAAAAGAATAGTAGCTAGATCAAGTAGTTTTTGTAAAAAGATTAGTTATATTTAGAAAACGAAAATGTAATTCCTTGTTTAATTGAGCAACGAACAATAGATGCTCATCACAGCTAATAACACCCAATGGAAACACAAAACACCTCACCACTATTTTCAAGAAAACCACCAATTGTGTGAAATAATAAACATTCATAACCATGTGTAAAAAAACAGAATGTGTGTCAGCGTGAAGGTACGCTAGGCGACGATGCCTCCTGCCAGATGGGAGAAAATGGGCCGGGTCTTTGAGGAGTTACGAGTGGGCGGGGCAGAAGAGGGATCAGCAGCCACAGCCTTGCAGGAAGAGGCTTCCGAGGTACACAACGCATAGCTTCCCAATATTCCAACACACCCGACTTCCTTCACAAACATCAATAGACACAGGCTCATGTAGGATATTGCAGTGCTAACTTTCTAATTCATAGCTTTTAAACCTTTTTAGTAAATATTTTGACCCCATTCTGGGAAAGCACTCGGGTTTTAACGGTTTTGACGATTTGCTAAAACTTTTTCCAAGGACATTTTGAAGTCCGTTCTTCGCATTCAATTTTAAAATGTTCCACATAGTTGTCAGTCCTTTTACCTTTTCAGTTCAACCCTTCCCTTCTTAACAGCATTTTTAGCCAGCAATGATCAGTGTGAGTTCTGTTGTCAGCTGTGTTGAATGGGACGCAGGGAGGCCCAACAATGGTGCCAGGCATGTTCTGAGGGAATTCCAGGTTTCCCCCCCGCGGGAGTGGGGGTCCGGCCAAGCTCAGCTGGGCCCTTGGCCGGACCCTACACAAACCCTCTTAGGCAAGGGGAAAGGAAAACACATTCACTTGGGCAATTGTGTGTGTGTGTGTTGGCTGTGTGTGTGTGTGGGTTGGTGTGTGTGTGTGTGTGTGGTGTGTGTGTGTGTGTGTGGCTGTGTGTGTGTGTGTGTGTGTGTGTGGTTGTGTGTGTGTGTGTGTGTGTGTGGTGTGTGTGTGTTGTGTGTGTGTGTGACTGGGGAGAACGGCTGGCCTGTGACACAACACACACACTGATAGCTCTGATCACATTTCCTGCTCAACCTCACCATGTTTTCAAACTTGGATTTTATGTTTAGGCCAAAACTCATTCACTTAATGTTCTATGCTTTGAGGTTGTTGAGCAAATGATCAATTTCACGAGCTCGGATTTTAATGACATACATTATACAGGTTATTAGGGTCTGGAACGACAATGGACAAAATTTCATAATACGCTTATTCCATGGTGCAGATATCCAGATCATTTTAAAGCGTTCTTTTGACACTGTGAACACGCGGTGCCATGTCTTTAGCTAAGTGAAATGCTATCGCATCTGTCAAAAGACTTATATCGACTGGACGTGGACTCGTATGGTGTAACACTATTAAACGCACCAGCAATCATAGTTTGCTTGGGTGTCTTAAGGGATGACTGGAGAGGTCGCCGGTGTTTCTTTCAATGTCATACACTCATCATGCAGCACACGGTGGTGTTGTTTCAAGTGGTGAAACATGTTTGTTGTGTTCCCTTTCTTCGTCGCAATTTTCGCCAAGCAAGACCTGCACAACACCTCGCTCTGGTCGACATCCTCCTTTCTAAACCCAAAATACCTCCAAATAATAGAGGAGGATTTATTTTTTGGCACTAAATTAGGTTGTGCACTGCCACCGGCCGCATTATCTTCTGCACTCATGTCTCGTTTCTTCAGTTCTGATTTCCCCGCTGTGAGTATCCTCGTGTGTGTGTGGCTGTGTCCGTCTCCGTCACTCCCAAGTCCCACCCTCCTATGTTTGTCATTGGTTGGGTTCAGCTGTCAATCCACAGCAAGCATGAACTAAGCTTTGTGGTTGGCTGGCCGTAGTGGTGCGTTCAATGGCAATCGGCCAAATGTTTATGGAGACTTCCACAGCTGTACAAGCAGGGCGAGTGCGGGGGAAATACGGATGAGAACTAGCTTTGTAGCTATAATCCGGCATATTTACATTTGTTTTTATACTGATGTTCATTAATGTGCATTGTCCCTATTCAAATAAATATAAAAAAATATATATATATATCGTTTATACCATTGCTTTTTTTATATTGATTTCTTGAATGTTCATATCGAGATATCGATACGATAACGATATATCGTTCAGCCCTAGTTACAACCCCTCAAGAAATGTCAGCTGAACACGTTTTACAAATCGCCGATTTGTAAAACGTGTTCAGCTGACATTTCTTGAGGGGTTGTAACTAGGGCTGAACGATATATCGTTATCGTATCGATATCTCGATATGAACATTCAANCCACCCTTGTAACCAATGGCCCGGAGCATTCGTCCAAAAAATATATGAATAATGAAGAAAATGAACACATTTGTTGCAATAGTAATTTATGCACTAACTACATTACTACTTGTACTACAACATTTGAATCATCAGTTCTTCCTAATTTTCCTCAATTGTTCATATTTGGTTTATTCAAATAATGATATTGTGGTCATTGTTAAAAGATGTCTGCTATTATTACGAGTATTATTATTTGTATAATGCACTTTCTGCCTTCCTGTCATTAGGAGTTAGAAATGTAATGGCTATGTAATAGATTTAGATTAGAACCTTCATTATCCTAAACTGCTGGGACATTTCCCGCATAGGTCGGCATTGATGTACAGAGCCGACAGAAGACCTTGTTTATATTGGCATCATATTGAGAGGTGCAGCCAGTGACGCGTCCTAAAACCAGCAAGTAAGCTGCTGGTTCCCTCGACAAAATGCAATGGGATTTCTCCACAGGGTTTTGGAAAATAGCTGGAAATAAGGTCTGTGGAAAACAAACCTGTTTGATAAACTAAACAATTTAACAAATTTGCTAGTCAAAGTACCAATAGGACAATTTATTTTTTGAAAGCAATATTTTTAGTGGCCCGAGCGGGCAAGTGGAAAGTACGTTATGCTGGCCATTTATAATGTCGAGCCCTGGACCGCTGCACATTATCCCTTACTTATAGTCGTTAACCTGCTCAGCCTGAGAGCCCCCGGTAGAGGGGGCTGGGGTTTTTTTTTTCACGAAACTGTGTCTCAGGGCTTCTTAATATTTTAAAAAACCTATTAATGTGTCATACTCACTTAACCTGTTCAACCCAGAGCCTGTTTTCCAGGTCTCAGGCTCGAAAATGACATTTCCAGAACAAATGACCATAATTACACTTCTAAAAGGGGAACATTAATAATCTTTCTTCTCAAATTAATGATAAACCTGTGAGTTGGATGTAGAAAAGTCAGACTATATATGTTTTTTATTTTAAAGAAAATTCAGATTGAACATTGAGCTGAGTTTCTTCCCGTTAAATGAGTGACACATTCATAGTTTATTAAATGTTAAGAAGCCCTTAGACACAGTTTCATAAAAAAAAACGAAACTGCTTAACAGCTTAAGGGCTGAATCTAGAATTTGTTTTAAATTTGTGGACAAAGAAGTTGAATTGCTGTTTTGTTGAACATGTCTGTCATTGTCACAGTTAACAAACAAACATTATTTCTAAGGCTGCAAATTAAAATCTGTCTGATAAAGTTGTTAGTAAAATGTTGTTGTTTTTTGTCCATCTCTTCAGGCTATAAAATGTCGCCTGGCTGACCTCACAGTCCCAGAGGGAGACTGGAGCCCAGAGGCCGTCCGGTTTGTGAAGGAGGCTGTCCTGGGCTCTGATGACTGTAAAATGAAGGTAATGTCCTTTTTTAGGGCAAATGCAGCCCTTCCAACTATTACAAAAGTGTCCCTAATGATTAAATGCCTGAGTGTATGTTTTATTATAAAGGCTTGACTGCATGGAGCACAATAACAGTGTAGCAGGAGTTGTTTTAATCTATCTCCAAATATTCAAAATATAAACGCTGCAAATCAAGTTTACAAGTAAAGCCCTGTTGAAGAACAGTGCAAAAACAACCACTATCATCTCAAGGTCTCTGTAACAATGTGTGCCTTTTTGTTTTTTTCTCCCTTTGTTCCCTTGTCACAGATCCACAAATTAGACCAGCACAAAGGGGACTGTCTGATCTACATGTACCTCTTCATTGGTACTGATAGTCAGGAGCTGGACAAGAGCATCAACCATCAGCTGGCCAAGTCACAGCTTTGGCAGCAGCTCACAACACAAAACAACAACACAATCACCAGCAACAATGGCGGTGTGGATTCAGGTAACACTGCACGACGGCAAGCGCCAAGTCCCACCAACAGTCAGCATTTGTTGCATGAACAAGTCTGGTCAAATGTTGGGCCTTCTTGTTCTCCAAAATGTCCTTCTATGTGAATCTATCTTGGATTGAAATTACACTGACAATGAGGTTAAAGTGCTAACTTGGCTTTAATGTGATGGTTTTGAATGTACCTGTGTTTTATCAACTGTCCAGGTCTGAGTGCTTCAGTGGAGAAGTTGACTCTGAGCAGCCCGGCCCCTTACCCCATTGCCAAGACTTCAAGCCAAGCTCTTCTCGGGGCAGGGGACGGTCCTCAAGATACGACCTCCAAAGCTGGGGTGCAGCCCCTTCCCCTGCCTCCTTCACTGGACTTCCCCCAGGTATGTGGACACAGACTCACTTTCTGTAGGGGCTCACAATCATGCAAGGGAAGTGTATGTAAATGATGTCCTTGCTTGTTTTTTGGGCTTTAATCAATAGGTGTAAGAACTATGTATTTGAATGGAAACACATTGTTCTTATTCACATTTGTCTGCATCACACAGATGTTCCGACCACTTAAAAAAAACGATCAAGAGCCAAACTCCTTAACGCCACAGTCACCACACTCCAAACTGACAATACATGTGTTGTGCTTGTAGGCATTCACATTTCTGTTGTATATGATATAAGAAGTTTAAAAAACAACTTGTGGCTTATGGTCATACAAGCATTAACCACCATTCCAATATACTTTACACACTTTTTGACATGAATTATTACTGTAGAATAACTTAAGCTACAGAAATAGAAAATATATGAATAAAAGCTTTGTGATAATGTCACACCCGGTCTTCTTTCAGCCTGGTCAGAATATGGACGTGTTTGTGCCAGTGGCCTGCCACCCCGGTTACTTTGTGCTGCAGCAATGGCAGGACCTGCATAAGCTTGTGGTGTTGATGGGGGAGATGGTTCTTTTTTATAACCAGTCGTCCAAGATCGACTCCTCTGCCCCCAATATCGAGAAAGGAGGGATCTACGCGACCAAAATAGACAAGAAGTAAGTGATTGTAAATTGTTTCATGGTTACAGTTTTCTGTACACTCAAAATGATGATAGGTCAGGAATGTCATTAGCTCCTTAACAGAAGATAATCTTAATAGATTTCGGAGGACTTCAGGATATGGAGGTCATATTAATAGCACTCCTGTAGTATGCGAGGATGAATACATTCACTGGAAACCAATTGTAGTGAATGGTTATAGTTATACACTTTTATATGGTTCAAAATGCTTGACAAATAATCGTTTTTATGCAAATGCATTAAAAAAATTCAACGTATAGTTATCAAGTTGTCTTTATACTGCTGTAATTCTTCTTTGATTCACCTCCTTCTACTCGGCCACCTGGTAATCTGTCTGCTTTCCATCTGGCTGCCTGAGGCTGGTGCTGCTTGCAAACTGACATCAGGACAGTGGAAAGAAAGTTACTTTCTAACTCTCTAATAGCACCCTCTGCTGTTAAACCAAATATAAAGGCCTTTATTTGTCAAGGAGAGATATTGGAACAAGTTAAATAACCATATCAAATCCTTACAGCCTCAAAACAGCATTGAGGCATTTTTTGTTTAATCCCTACTGGTGATGTCATGACCTTCTTAAAGTGTAACTGCTGATCTTCAACCTGCTTCTCACCCCAGCAGTCCTTCTATAAGGGAGAAAGGCTGATGAATGGCTATAGTCAATATGTGTTTGTTTTTTTATAACTTCCAATTCATGTAATGAAACACACATTTCAATTAGTTGATAGTCTGCTTTTGATTAATAAAGATTACCAAAAAATGTAGTTAAAATTAGGGATGCACCGAATATTCGGCCGCCGAAAATTATCGGCCGAAAATGGTTAAAAAGGCCCTTTCGGCTTTCGGCCGAAAGGGTTTCAGCACCGAAAAAATATCACCGAATGTCAGAGAACAGGGTTACGTTGGTAAGCTAACGTGTTGTTGTGATGACGTAATCAAAACGCGGCGACAAGCACGGCGCGCGACCATGCTCGCGGCTGGCTCACAGCCAACATGTCTGCCGCTTGGAGATATTTAGGCACAC